GTTTTAAAACCTCACTTTTGATTATCATATTAAAACTGCTCAAAATAAAATCTCAAAGTCTATATGTTTTCCTTGAATAAGGTTAAAAATTTTCTCTCGACCTCAGCTCTAAAAAGTATTTATTATGCTTTTGTCCATCCTCACTTTTTATATTGTTTACCATTCTAAAAAATATTAATTCTCTGAGTCTTTTATAAAGAAAATGTATTAGAACAATTGCTAAAGCTAGATATAATGCTCATTCTGAACCTCTATTTTATGAATTAAAGATACTCCCTTTCCCGGACCTTATTCTTCATCAAAAACTTTCGTTCATGCACTCCATAACTTTTAGTTACGCCCCTCCTTCTTTCTTTATGGATCCAGTGTTCCCCAGGAATTTAGATATTGAGATGCACCAATACCCCTTAAGAAATCGAGATCAATTTTTTGTTCCTAGATGTAAAAATTTATTTTTAAATATATTTCCTTTATATTCTTTCACTTCCTGTTGGAATGAACTTGACCCAGCTTTGTCTTGTATTGCTAGCAAAAATGAATTTAAATATAAACTTAAGCAACATTTTCTTATATATACACAATACATATAGTTTGCAGCAGAAAATGCATTTTACTGCCATCATACGCTGATCTTTGACACTAAAGGTTTAAATAAATCCGCTGAGATTAACTTTTATTTTGAATTTAATGATTCTAAGTTTACGGGTTGAAAGCACTGACCAGACGTTTACGGTGTTTTTGACGTGGAAATAAAAGAAAATCCCGTGCAAGTGAAAACATATCGGACTTCTGGGGTATTTAACTTTATATGGACATTTGAGACATTTATGTGAGGCAAGTTTAATAGGTGACCCTAGGACATTTGCAACAAGAGGGGAATATAGAAAATATCCAAGCATCAGATCAATGACAGGACTGGGAGTTTAAAAAGTAAAAATCATTGTGTTTAATTTTTTCTAACTCAATTTCTAGCTTTAGTTACTTCTGTTAAACAGGAGTTATATACCTGTTTGAAAATACAAAACACACATAATACCTATACTTTTGGAATTAGGAACACATATATCACGGTGGACTAAGCCAGTGGGGTCGGTCAAATAGGCCTAGGATTAGGCCGGGTACTGTAAAAGTCTGTACGCGCCATGGGAGTTGTCATAGTTAGCCCTCCAACGAGAACATGCCAAGAAAATTGACCCCTGTCGTATGTTAGTCTGGTTAGGGCGACTTACTGTACAGAATATGGTCAAGAACCGGGCTACCATAGGATCGGGTCAGTACACGCTGCTATCTGGCACTGGCAGGTTATCGGGCAGGTCCTGTTCGAATTCAAATTTACTACGGCCCAGAGTGATATTGATATATCTGAGGATAATATTTATAGGATTATGTAAATTCTATCAAATATGATTATAAAGATATTATTCGCCGAAATGTTTTTTGTATTGTAAAAATGAGCATATGAGTATATGAGAGAAAGATTTCAAAATTATATTCTGTTGAAGTTTTTTTTAAACTTTGCAATATTTTAATCCTAAGAAAAAAAGGAAAAACCAACTTACACCTGTAAAAGATATGAATATGATTATACTTTCTTGAAACAACATTTAAAGTTGTAGCTGAAATAGGGAATGGTAGCCTTGGGTGTTAATGAATTGAGTCTTTGCCACAATCTCTGAATTTCTATTACCTATATCTTTGCAACCCAATGTTGCATATCTTAGATATTTTAAACTATTAACTCTGATAGATCAAAATATCTAAGTTTGAAATTTCAGAGGGGTTTACATCATCAGGTTGCAAAGATTTTGGAATTAGAAATTTTGAGTTTCCATAAAAAAATTCAACAACAAAGAAATTAAACGGATAGGGTACTTAATTGACAAGACATTTCATAGATCGGACAATTAGTATAAGCTGGGAGCAAAGTTTTTAGCACTGCTTAATTTATTTCTCTTGTAAAGTTAGGACTTTTTCTTTTCTTTTTCATTTAATATTCCTTTTTGACTTATTATACAATCTTCATATGAAATGTCCTACTTATGACATTCTACAAAATGATTTTTTTTCTGAAGTTTTTCATTGCTCTGGTTTGAAGCATATTGCAACCAAAGTTTAGATCTACACAGCTAGGATCTTCATTGCAACCTTCGATATTTCAAACTTTAAATTCTAGATTAAAATCTAGATCAATTATGTACACCATCAGGTTAAAATAATACAGAAAATTCCAGTTTATGGCGAAAAATCAGTCTCTGTCACTGAATAAAGGTTGGAATAAATTCTCATGTTTTCCAGGGCCCCCTGTTCTCTTGACTCCTCCCACTGTGTACTCTATAATTTACTCCCACTAATAAAGATTCTAAATACCACGTTCTCAAAGGGGATTCTAGATTAATCACCATATTAAGGAGGAAACAGAAGATTTAATGAGATTTAGACGGAATGTCCCCCCCCTCCCTCCCGGAGGCGTTTGAAATGGTTGTTACAAGGAGAGCTTTAAAAGAAGCTTCAATTCACGGAAGAATTCATTTGTGAACTTATTTAAAATTTGCCCCATTAAATTCAAATGTGACAGGATTAAAGGCATTTCCCCCCAGATTTCGTTTTACCAAAAAAAGTTACCAATAAACGTAGAAACTATCGATGATTTTGATATCGTCTTTGTAAATGATTTTTTGATTTAATATGTTATTATCAAGTGACCTTCAATTTTTACAGAGGTAAGTCCGATTCACTACGGTAACCGATAGCCCTCTATCAACAAGTACACATTTAACAAGCTATCACTGGTTTTAATCTAGAAAATATAGTCTTTTATTGGCTTATTTACTGATTTATCAAAGAAAGAAACATAGTTAGAATTGTAGGGAATCATGAATGTAAGGATACAGACCGTATATATTCTGTACAGTCGTCTCTGAAGTCTCATCCTTTGTGGGTAACCATATCAAGTTTATCGCATGCATTTTCTTTTTTTAAAGGTTCTGAAATTAGGGGGCAGGGCCTGGGATGAATAATAAAGAAAAGGTGGGGGGCATCTCATTCAACATTCCCCAGTCCCCAACCTACCCTATTTTTGTGTAATTCCAGATATTCCAAACACAATTGTTTGATTTGAGGTCTACATATACTCCAACTCTTAAAGAAGGGCCTGGGCCTGAGAGAGGATAAAACTAGGCCCAAAAACAAAAATTAAGGCCCATAATTTAGAATTTGGAGAGAACAACAAGAAAAATTAGGGGCGAAGCCCCCCAAATTTTTTTTGACCTAACAGCAAATATTTAGGCCTAATTTTAAATATTTTACCAAAATAGCTGATTTATTGCTTCTTTTGATTCAAATATACTCCAGTATCTGAATAGAAAAGAGGAGGAGAGGGAGGGGGGAAGTCCAATAAACGTCAAAACCGATCGGGCCAAAATTTTGTATGGGACCTCACATGACCTCAGGGAAGGTTTATAGATGATCAAAGTTTCAAAACTTAGCTTCCAACAAAATCTTAAAAATTCACGCATTTTTTTTACAAAATCCGCAAACTTGTTTATGTTATTGTTTTATCTTTTTATACAACAATATTATATTAATTTATATTCACAATTGAAATAGAACATGAGCGCGAAGCAAGCGCCCTGAACTGGGAACTTGAGAATGGTTAACCTTTAATCCCAAATACTTAATCCGAATATCCACTGTGGAAACTTTTAATTTTAGTCCTTAATCCACTCTTTTTCTCTCTATTTGGATATCCTTACATTATTGAGAGTGCAGGATTATAGTTCGTAAATTGTATTGACCAATGACAGCCTTGTAAATAAATTCTATCCCATGAGAGAAATCCGCAATTTCAACAAATCAAGAATTTGTTGTCGGCCATTTTGTAAATTAATCGGCGAAGAAAAATATTTAATAATACGTTTGAGATTCTTTAGTAACCAATTTTAACTAATGAATTAATCCAACAAATCTGGCGTTCTTAGAATTCAATTTGGTGATCTAAATATTTAATCTCAAGACTAACATAATCTCAAGATTATGTTAGTTTAGAGATTAGCAAAAACAAAGGATTAAGCATTGATCCTGATATCCACCATCCACTCTAAAGTTCCCAGCTCTGAAAGCCTTCTATATTATAATATTTATTAAATTAGAATCCAGGATTTGTTCCAGGTTCTCCCAAGGGAATATGCTCAGGTTTTCAGGAAGGTTGTGAAAAATGTTTAAACTCGTGAAGTCATTTCATTCTTACTTTATCAAAGCAGTGTCTGGCTCTTTTCTTTATCAACACTTTCCTAAGGTCCAAAGCAATTTCATTTAAGCTTTTTTTCTCGTTTTGGGCGGTTGGCAACACTAACTGTTGCGAGTGTTGACGCAGATTTAACAGTTCGTTCCTTGACTATTGATCACAAAATTTTATCAAATGAAAATATGTTTATGGCTTTTTTTGTTTTAAACAACCCTGTAAATCTATAAGATTGTTGTACGGTGATAAGGACATTATATAAATAAAATGAAGCCGACTTTCTATTATAATTTTAATTTATATCAAGCTATTAAACAACATGGGTACACAAAACATTACGTTATATTGATATAATAGCGTACCACCGTGTTATATTGTTAATCCAAGGTGCTCGATGGTCCACACCGGAGCCCATACATTTTAAAATCTTTGTGTGACCAAAATACTGAATATTTTTGTTGTATTCGACAATCAATACTTTTTGGTTTTCTATATGATTATGATTATTGCCTGACTGAAGAGATTGAACTTGTTTAGGCAAACTGAACGCTACGTCAAAACCCAAACCGCAGCATTCTGCTTTTCAGAATAAGTTTTAGCGCACAATACGTCAATGTTTTTTTTTAAGTCTTAGCTTTGGCATCATGCTTTACGGGGTTCTCTGTGTATCATTCTAACCTAACTGGTTAACTGTTTAAAATAGTTTAAAAAAGGCAAATTTTACATATATGGTATCATTTTAAAAAAGTGAATATTTGGATGAATTTTAAAAACATATTTATTTTTAACACTAGGTGTACGACTATACAATTAAGTAGGATAAGAAGTGGGGCTAAATGACTACGATCTGCAAATACAAATTTTTAAAAATTTATCTTGGACGGATGGGATTATTGTTATATATATACTATGACACAATTTTATCTACATTCACAGATGTGACAGATAGGACAACGAAGGTCGTCTTAGAAACCCAAGGCTCGCTCTTAACGTCCGATCTGTGTAATCTGTGTCTACATCTAAGGCACGTGGTGAAGGCACATTAAGTAAAGATGGCACAAGTTTTGTATTCAGGAGAACTGACGTAAACAAAGTAAACATGACAACTGATTTGCGGATTTTATTTTCCTCTTTCGGAGATTTTCCTCGTCTACAATACCATGTTGGAGGGATTGCTTGAAGCATAAATATCTTCTTGGAAAATAAATATTTTCTGAGGGGGGATAACGATGTTTAACCCTGGTATACCAGGTATCCCATATTTATGAATGCAATAAAGGAATTTGTAAAACTTTGCATCTTGGAGAATATCATTGTAAAAATTCGTTGCAGTCAGATTTATGGGATAAACAATATCATATTGTTATTGTTTGTTTGCACAGATCTCCTGCAGTACACTTACAATATTTTGACATAAAATAAATTCTAGTCAATTCGATTCATTCAATATGGAGAAAATAAAACTACTTTTATGTTCAATTAAATATAAGTAGTTATATCAGTATTATGAATAATTGATTAAGTAATACGTAATTAAAAATATTTTTCATAAATATACATAAACAATCGAAATTCGAGGCATTACGGTGTGCCCTTTTAAACATGATAATGTGTTCAAGTGTACAGTAATAAAAATAAAACAAAACCCTGTTTTACTAAAAATTTTGTGTCAAATAAAAAAGTCGTAAAACTGAACTTAAAATTAACTAATTAAGTAAATAAATCAGATTTGTGAAAAAATACTTTCATCTAAATATAGGATTTAATAACACACACTAAGAGTTCTAATTACTAAATCATTTTGTTTTGAATAAAAATTAAGGAGACAAAACCTTGTAAAAGAATAAGAACGGACAAAAAACTTCGGGCATTCTCTTGTTTCTAACAGTGTAAAGTTGCACCCGGAAAACTGGGAATTCTTCCCTCCTCAGAGGTTTATTAGAATCGAATGTTTTGAAAACAAGTTTGTAAATTTTGAAACAAAAACTGAAACAAAATGTTCTCAATGGGTTCCTTGTTAGTCTGAATTAGTGTTCTATCGTTTTAGTATAAGGATACACTTGCTGTAAAGGGGTTTAAACCTAGAAAAGATAAAATAATTGGGTTCAGAGTTAAAATTTGTGTGGTTCAGCGAATAGAACGGATTTGTGACTTACTATTTGGCACCAGTGAATTAAATTAGCAAAAATGCGCTAATTATTAATACATATGCACACTGTACAGAGTACAGCTATAACATTGTTGTGCATACATCCTGTACATGTAGGTACTGTACAACACATTGAACACATATAATATATCCGTGTACCAATGACTGTACATGGAGAATCAAAAAATGTCGACTAATTGTAAATTTAAACATTGACAGTCATAATTATGTTCAGTTGTGTGCACTGCAACAGTATTTTTTATGTACAAAGAGATTCTTAGATGTTGCAGATCTCCAATGTCCGGTCTGGCCGGACATTATATTTTCATATTTTGACACGAGTTATCTCTACTCTGGGATAAATATCTCTAATTCGTAGTTCTCTAGTTCAACAACAGGTGTCTCTAACTCTCACTAGAATTAGGGTTGATTAGTAAAATGATCCTTGCATGCATATTTAAATCAAATATTAATAAAAAATGCAAATAAAATTTAAAAGTTCAGAGCAAAAATAGTGTTAAATAAAAGTAAGATCCAAAAAATAAGCAATTCATGATTTCAGACATAATTTTACTTTCAGACTTATTTAAAATCAATTTGATGACAATTTACTTTGCAAATAAATATATACCTTTAACATATAACATGAAGATACATTTATGCATTGTTTTACAAAAAAGGGTGTACAAATTTACGGCATAATTATTTTTTAAGATGCAGTTCGGGTTTCCATTCAAAAAATAGCGCAAAATTTGATCTGTAGCTGGATACCTAATCTCTCAAATAAAAATTTATATAAAAAATCATATTCGTATGGAGATATTAAAAGAATAATTTAATCATTGAGCTAAATATTACCGCATAAATCGCGTAGCTGTGAATTTTCACAAAGGTTAGTTTTAGATAATTAACCAGCAATCATAATTATGTAATTCAAGGCAATTTCTAATTAAGAATAAATATTTTCTTCGCATGGAAACCAAAACTTTTCAGCACGAATTTATTTTTTTAATTTTCAGAGATTTGATATAAACATATTTTGCATAATTGTAACAATTTTATAAACGGAAGATAAATTGCTTTAAAAAATAATAAAAATAAAATTCTTAATCTTCACACACGTTGTATACATACATTAATATTGCTTTAACTCTTATTTTAAAACAATGCATTTAAGATCTTAATGATAAGAATGTGTTCACATATTTAAAAAAAAATTACTGCTGTGAAAAATTAACATAGAAAAAAACCCTTACTGGCATGCTGATTGATGATTAATAGTTGTATTTTTTATGTAATTTAAATTGACTTTTCATTAAAAAGTGACACATTTATTGGTTTATTTAATTAACTCTGAGATACAATCTATAATTTTCGTGGAGTAACAAATTTTTAAACAGCTCTTTCAGCTGTGAAATCTTTAACCATTTTGTGCCACGTCTTTACTTAAATAGTTTCTTTTTAGAAAAATCGCGGTTGCTGATTTCAAGCAACCGTTTGTTTTCTCTTTACATGAAAAGTCGCTTAAAATTACGTTTGTTATATATTAAAGTTATTAATGTTAAAAATTTGTTGGTTAAAATGTATTTTTTAGATCATTCCAATGCGAACTTTAGGGTTTGTTCAGTGTTAATTCTCATGATAATGTTACAACCATCATTCACCCACATTAGATGAGAAAATTAATCACGTTAATCGTTAATTGTGCTGAGAAGGAGATAGAGGTCGTTAATTAACCGTTAATAGTTTCTATTTGTTAATATCCCAGGTTATCTGCATATTTATGGAGTAATTGAGAATATTTGGTTAATTTTGAAGTTGGTTAGTTTCATTATGAAATCCGTGAATTTCAGGTTAATCTGTACAGTGTACAAGTTAATTGATGAGTCAAGTTAATTACAACATTGTTAAATTACAAAGTTAATTATTACCTCGCTACATGCAGCTAATCGTGGATTTAACATTTATTTTCTTAAAGAACTTTATTTTTAAAATATTTCAATAATTACAAAATCAAATTACGTAACAATAAACATAGTTTTACAATGTATAGCATAGATTGGGCTCGTTTTATTATCTCCATTTCAGCACTACCCCCCCCCCCTTGGGACATGTACAAGACATTTTCTCATCTGACGGGGTAGAATTGTACAGTATGTACAAGACTAACCTTCAGACTAGGGCCTGGTATAGGGATGCTGTCTAAGCCCAGCAACAAATTTCCTGTCCTTACCAAGTCCTAAATATGACTTGGATTGAAAACGGGTGCTTGAAAAAGAAAGGGTGAGCCGTGAGGAGGATTTTTTTACAGGTTTATCATCAGAATGTATATTATACAACAGTAGTAGTAGAAATATAGACGAATAATAGATTTATTATGGCACTGTGTGTGTCTACAAGCGTGGGACTAGCTCATTACACCATATTTACACATATAAGCAAACCTTTCTGCTCACACGGAAATTGAGTGTTCCAAAAAATGAAATTTTCTTTTTTTGGAACACTTGTGGATTAATACTTTTAATGTAATAGGTTAAACCATGTATTCCGGGGATAATTCTTTTAGTTATTTTCATCAATAAATGTTATTTCATATTATAAAAATAAGTTAGCTAAAAGTTTGATTAATTTTTTTTTTTTTTTTGGGGGGGGGGGTGTTGATTACGGGGACCTAAAATGTTAAAATAATGTTATCATGCATTGAATAAAAACTTATTAATCTTTTTAACATTTTTATTTTGTTTTAAGAAAAACCAGTTTCAAATCTTGTTTTCATCTTCCACGTAAGTCCTAAAAACTAGATTAATTTATGCTGACTCCACATTCACAACCTACAAGGGTTAAAAGGACACCTAAAATCTATCTACAAATTGTTATTTACATTATACCTATACCAGGGTGTCCTCATTTAACTTTTATTATTGGTCCACCCTAATATTGAGTATTTTGGTTAGTCACATTTAATAGTCCGTGCACACAGAACTCAGTTTGCAGTGTGTCATATGATTTATAAAATAAAATACAAAAATTTGAAAAATGAATAAAAAGCACTGGTTTCTTCCAAAAATTCTAATTTTGGCGAATAAACATATACACATATATATATATATATAGAATTGAGTTTAACGTGCCTTTGAAAACACGTATAACAGAGACATTTTAAGAGCACCTTTAGTCAGCTTTTTCGGCCTTAAAAAGGCGGAACCAACACTTTGGTTTTGACAATTTTTTGGAAGGTCACAAAGAAAACGATTAATTCTAAAACATTGGGTTGAAAAGTGTACGGCATGAAGAAAAATATGATATATTTGTTGAGTGTAAAGGATGCAAAGCTCTGGAGTAGCCCCAGGTGTATCAAGAGCTACTGAAACTAGGACCAGGTGTACGGAACCCTATTCACCCATTTAGGAGAATATATAATTAACATTCTGACTTGAAGTATTGGACCGACCGCTCTAGAACATAAAGAGATGATAAAAATAATATATTTTTGAAGTATTGGACCGACCGCTCTAGAACATAAAGAGATCGGTGAAGATACCCCCCCTTGTCTAGTTTAACCTATAAAAAATTGAAAACTATCCAATTCTCAAAAATCACTGACTATAAATATATGTGTGTGTTGCTCCTGCAAGCTAGAAAATTGTAATTTTACTCAACAGTTTAAATGCCACGGCACTAGTAGAAACAATATGCAGAGCTCAACATTTATTCTCCAAGACAGAGTTGGGGGAAATGTGAGTAACAAAGGGGGGGGGGTGAAGGGCGATAAATTTCAGTTTTTGCCGTACCTAGATCTTAATTCGGAGTTTCTAATTAATAAGAGAAAATATTGTAGATGTAATCTTTTTGGGTTAGGTATTTATGCTCACTACGTTGTGCATTATGAGCACGCGCATTAAACCTAGGATGACTAATTATAGGTACGTGTGTGGCGGCGCGCGGTGGGCAGTAAAGGGTCAGCTTATTTAAACTGACAAATGACGAGTTAGCGCCAGTGATAATAGACTAATTAGTGTAACTAAGCGTTTCAGGAAAATATTCTGAGGGGCGGCCATTGTCAAAAATTAATCGTTTTCAAATATGGAACCTTCAAGAGAAAAAATGTATGAAATACAGAGATTATCCATATTACGGAATGGTTTAATGATTTTTGTTGAAAAATCGGCTACGGTGACCTACGTTTTAAAACAGTTAAAAGTTTTTAAACCACCTTTATAAGCTTGATTTGCATAACAGTCGTACAACGTAGGCGCCGTAATTTTACAATAACACAGATTTAAACATTTAAATATTTAATGTAAACTAAAAGGAGAACCCTGGTGGGCCAGTTCCTCCTCATAATGGGGGACGAGGAATAAAGGGGTACTCCCCCCAGAACACAGGGAATAAAGGGACACTCCGCAGATTTACATTCCCACTACTAGATAACCTACATAGAAGTAAAAATGTTACAAAGTGTTCTTTTACATAGAACATCAATTTTAGAACAATTTCAAGTGGGAATAAGTTCTGATATTCTTATAAAACATAATTTTTTTTATAAAAGATAACTATGATGTTGTTGAAGATTATCTGATCCAAATATATCTTTCACCTGAAGTATCCTGTGTGTAGTCAATCAATGGTGACGTAAGCCCTGCGTAGCTGCTGTAATCCGCAATCCCGTATTGTGCGTACAACAGCTGTTGCGTATCGTTAGGATTGATGAGTGGAGGTGGACCACCGTTGCTTAGCAGTCCATTGGCCAAGGTGGTTGGGACCTGAAGTCCCTGAAGACGAGGGGAGAGAATTAAAGGCGCGCCGCCCAGTTGACCGCTCTGCCTGAGCGCGGCCGCCTGGTTTGCGAGCGCGTTCTGGAGCTGAGTATGCTGGCTGTGGGTGAGAGCAAGTCTGGGTTGAGTCTCAAGTCCAGCTGGAAATTTTTTAATTATTTTTAAAAGTTTTTAATGATCAAATCAATTTTGCTATTAATCCAGTATTTTTTTTCGAATGTTTTGTCAACATTGAGAAAAACCCATCGCCATCTTAAATCCAAGGGTTAAAAAAATTTAAAAATAAACTATGATGGAGAAAATGAAAAGAATCCATTATCGAGCTCAAGTCAAACTTCTCTCAGATAAAAATCTAAAGTTTTGCAAACTTCCGTAGAATTTTGCAAGTGTTAAACGCATCATTTGCCTTTTCATAACAATTCCCTACTTTTGCATTCATCGAATTCCCCCCCNCCCCCCGGCCCCTTTCTAGCATAAAATTCCCCCTTTTATGCACCTAAATTCCCCAGTAAAAATACTGGATGTATAGCTTTGTTATTTTGAGAAGAAGAACAAATATTTTTGTTTATTCTTCTTGATTTATTCTCTTTTTAAAGCCAAATTTTCTTCCAAGATAAATTCATATGTAAGCTAAGAAAATACTCCTTAAAAGTTTAATTTAAAATAGTTTTATCTGTTTAGATCGGAACGAAGTTATTTGTTAAACTGAAGCTACTTTGACCCACAAAATTCCGATTGATTTTATCACTCTGTAAAAGAAACTAATTCGATGCAAGTTTTTCTTCAATTTCAGTAAAACTTACGAGATGACATGTTGCTTGTTGAATCTCTGTATGTTCCGTTGATAATGGCCAACTCCATCAACTGTCTCTTCTTTAATTCATCTTCACCCTCGCTCTAGAACATAAATAGATGATAAAAATATTATATTTTTGAAGTATTGGACCGACCGCTCTAGAACATAAAGAGATGATAAAAATAATATATTTTTGAAGTATTGGACCGACCGCTCTAGAACATAAAGAGATGATAAAAATAATATATTTTTGAAGTATTGGACCGACCGCTCTAGAACATAAAGAGATGATAAAAATAATATATTTTTGAAGTATTGGACCGACCGCTCTAGAACATAAAGAGATGATAAAAATAATATATTTTTGAAGTATTGGACCGACCGCTCTAGAACATAAAGAGATGATAAAAATAATATATTTTTGAAGTATTGGACCGACCGCTCTAGAACATAAAGAGATGATAAAAATAATATATTTTTGAAGTATTGGACCGACCGCTCTANTAAAAATTGAAACTTCCCTAAAAACTGTTTGCCGAAGATTCATATTAATTATATAAGAAAGCGCACTTTAATTGATTTCTGTGTCTATTTATTTATCCAGCGCATCCTGCTCTCTACTGCATGTATCTTTTACATAAATACTTTTATATATCCCTGGCTCTACAATCTAGATATTTAAATATTTATCTCTTGGGGGATAAATGCCCCCCCTGTCAACAATGAAATTTGTAACTAGCGGAAACCTGGTGAAACATCTTGATAGGCTGTCTACAGTATAGATTCAACAAATTAGGAGAGATTAAAAAGATTACAACATTACTTTACAAGTTAAACCAGCAGCTGTTAAAATAAGTCTGAGATTATTCATCATCTTCACAAAATGGGATCTGCAAATCTATTTAAGGAAAAGATTTTTCCTAAAATGAATAGTAAAATATAGAAGTTATCCAAATGAAAAATCCTGTTTTGGGGGCTTATTGATCACAAATCAGAACCCCCCTCCCTTCACATCTTGGAGTTATTTAGCGTTTATAGACGGGGGGGGGGGGGGGGGGGGGGGAGGGGGGGATTGTGTTTTAACACCTTATCTTAGGAGGCAAACCGAGGGATTAAAGTAATCCTTCAGGGGAGGGCGATTATTGGACAGAAATCCTCATAAAAATTAGGCAAAAATAAAGTCACTGCCTAGCAAAGCTGTTAAAGGGAAAAATGAGGGAGATTTAGGAGTTGCAGGAATTTTTATCTCGCATAGATTTTGCGTGTAACTTGTTTTATTTCTGTTTTTGTAGTGAACTAGGGTGTAAGGAAAATCCCTATTTAGTTCCTTGCTATTGAACACTTCTGTATTTTTTCCTATTTTTCTGTTACTTAAATTTAAAATGAGTTTCATTTTTGCTACTTCAATTCTATTTAGCACTTGCATGATCTAGATGCAGTTTAAACATGGCGTGTTAACTAAAATTTGAGTTTAGAATTTTTGTCCTCTTTTTAACTAGCAAACCCCAGTGTATGGAGGAGGCATGATGTGAACACGGTCCAAAGATATTAAAATTATTTGGTCAAAATTTAACCACCAGAACCGGACCGGGTGCTTAAAACATCTTTAGGTTTAGATTTTTAGAGACAACCCGTGGGTAAGAAAAATTTTTAATTTCCCGAAAAAGTAGTTGTACACAATTGTATCGTCTTTTGAGATGAAAATGCGCGAATTTTTTCCTTTACTTAATAGTTCCAAGGGACATAAAGTAACTTAACTTCCCTCTGATGGGTGAATCATAGGTCGATTATGTTGGTAAAAAGGCGGTAAAAATTACTTCGCAACACGAATGGTAGTGTAAAAAAAAGAAAACGTGAAAGAAACCCCAGACTTAATTACAACTTCTGTGGATGTAGATTAGGGGAAAACGGGGATTAATGGGTTTGACAGATTAATTAGAATAGTTTGGAATGCAATTCTTAATTGCTGTTTTACATTTTCTTAATTCTGCCGACTTAATTAAGAACTAAGAGTTAGAAAGGTGTTTTAATGATTATCTAAACACACAACTCGGTGAGTGTAAATAACGTGGCTTAGAGAGTTTTAAGGGCTTGTTGATACTTTAGAAGAACTTTGTCCCGAAAAAAGGGAATGTAATTTCAAGTGACACTTTATTTGAAACGGTACCCATAAAATGAGTTAGAGTTATCATAGATTTTCTATCTAAAAAAGAAACACCTTTCCATTGTGCTTTTCTGTGACTTGCGCAATAATGCAGCAGAGACAGTGAAGGAAATTGAAAGAATCTTATCAAGAAACCAGGTTATGTTTCTCATTGTTAAACTTATAAAGGGCTAAAGAGTACAGTTGTGAATTGTGCATGTGACGCTTTTTCTAAATCGAGTGTTATTTGAAATTAGTTCAATAATTCATTTAATATTTTTTCTTACCACGGTGAGGAGTTTCTTAACTTCTTCGACTGCGCGCTCTAGCTTGAGTGTTGCTCGGTTTTCACAATCTTCAACTGTAATTAGAACATGGAGCTCATCGTTCAAGTGCTCCCAGTTTGGTTTACCACGGTTCTGTTCCTCCTGAACATAAGAATTTTTTTAAATATTTATTCTAAACTAGCTGGACTGCCCGCCGTTATCCGTGAAATTTAAAAAAAAAAATTTTGAAAGAAAAAAGTAGAATTAAACAAAAATAATTTTTCTAGCCTTTCTTGGGGTAACCCAGGGATTCCCTAAACAAATTTCAGCCAATTTGGTATAGTTATTTGGCCAGCTATAGCAAAGATATAAATAAATAAGTCTATATATATGTTAGCTATAGCTAGCCAAACGACTGCAAATTGGCTGATTTTTTTTTAGGAAACCCATCGAAATCAAAAATCAAGTTTTTTTCTTTCGAAATTCTTTTATAATTCCAGGGGCAACGCCGGGCACTTCAGCTAGTTATCAATAAGAACAAGATTAAATGTATGTTAAAAAAATAAGAAGATTTATTTTTTAGAACCGGAAAAATTGTGTCTTTTGATAAGATAAAAATTGTGTCTTTTGATAAAGTAAAAAAAAAAACACATTATTTAAAAATAAATTAATATATCAGTGAAGCATTATACTTAATTATGATTAATACTATTGCATTCAAATGTTAATTAAGTGTAAAGGCAAGAAGTGAGCTGTATAACACTTTAAGCTATCTAGATAAAGATAGGGGTTAATTAATGAAACGTAAATTGCGCATTTTTGCAGCTCAAGCATGATGAATGTTTAACATTTAAAGTTATTATTTTGACCGCTTCAAAATTAATTTGTTAGTTCTGAAAAGTAATCCATCTCCCAAAATGTATTCCAACTTTAGTAAAAAGTGTTTAAACTCAGTCCAAAAATACCTTTGTACCCATTTATGGGCTGCGGATTAAGGCAGGATGAACGCAAGAAGTGTTTATATTGAAACGTTTTTCTCCCGCTAAAATAGCGTATTGTTTAACAAAATGCGCCAAACTCAGTTTTTGCGAAGTTTCTGGTTGTACCTTTTTTGCAACATTCCCCCCCCCCCTACCCACCTTTCCTTAAAGAAACAATATCCTGAATTAATTACTAAATCTGTTTGCTAAACCAAGGATGTTGCGTTGTAACTTCCTTCATTTTAAAATGGCGTCATTGAAACAGGGATTAACGAACATTATTAAATAAGAACCGTATCTCCTTCAGATAATAATTAAATATTAGTCAAGCATAAAAATCTAAGCCTTTAAATGCATAAATGCAACCCTACGGCTGCATATTGCTATTGCAAATCTATAAGTTAGATGTTCTAAGGTACGAAAAATAAAACAAAAATCTGAACTTTCAAATTCTTCCGGTTATGAATGAAGCAGTGACTTTTTCACTCCAAAATGGAAATATGAATAGCTCCACCCACCTTTATAATAAAACAGCATTAAGCTAGAAACACCCTGTAAATGGACTATTAGTAAGATTAGCGCCTATCTTTATAGGTGGTGGGTTCTCCTAATATAGGATCTTCATAAAACATGAATGGTCAGACCGCAATCTTAATTGGTAGAATCTAAGCATATCAGGCAACTAACCCAGTTTTTACTTGACAAATGGTTCCCCTTTTACTACCCCCCCCCCTGCCCAGGTTAGTATCAAAATGCGTCAATTATCCATTTAAAGCTCTACACATGGACCCGCCGATACCCACTTAGATTCTGAAACCAAAATCTATCGCTTTCCAAGAATGAATTTTAATCTTTTCTATCAAATTTTTAAAGGATAATTAAAAATTTTCCTCAAAGAACTTTGTTGAAATTTATATTTAATATTTACCTACGTGGATTTAATGTTAAAATTTACTTAGTCGTCCTCGTATATATTAAGACAATAAAGACGACTTTCAATTTAAATTTTTGATTTTTATCAAGCTTTCAAACAGCATGGAATGGATACACATAAACGTGAAAGTGAAGCTGTCAACTAACAGCTTTTGTTTGTTTACTGGTAGTTTGAAAAAAGCTTGTTAGGGATCAAACCCTATAAGGTAGAAAAGTAGTCGATATTGTATTGCTATAAACGCCGACCAATATATTATGACGTCAAAATTTACATTTAAGGATGTCATGTATTAAAATCTGGATTGTGCCTACAGGGTTGACAGGTGTATAAACAGCATGCTGGGCGCGCAGATTAAAAGATCCAAGTTTGTCGGAGCACACGCGCAAAACATTCATTAATCCTCACATTGTTAGTTTAAAGTTAGAATTATGCATTTTCCTTATAATTCAAATATTCATCTCAGATTTTTTTAAATATAAAAATTAAATTTTTTTTGTAAAAGCAAAAAACCTTACTTGTGAAACTGAATGTTTTAGAAAAGGTAATTTAAAAAAGTAATGATACTTTTGAGAAAGAATGTTTTAAGAAATGTCTACAGAATAATAATGTTTCAGCTTTAGGATTGTTTGCTCCAGCGAGCAGGGACAGAGCATAACTTGCTCTAGGTGCAAAAAATAGATATTGTTATTCTTTACCTACTTTTTGATTCATACATATATCATACACAATGTTAGAAGTTAAATTAAATAAATTTGTTGTTAAGTTAATGCTTATTAAGATTAGTATGCATGACGTTTTATTTTAGGCATTTATCTTCCAACATGCCTGCATGCGTACATTGTACATGAACATGCGTACAGTGTACGCTAGTCGATACTCGTGCAGGGTATATGTATGATTCACCCGACCCTGCTCACCTTCGCCTTGTCCCTCATAGACCCCCTCCCCCGGACCATGATCTTGCATCCAGTCTCCGTCTCAAGCTGTTTCGTCGTCATTCCCCGGGGACCCAATATTCGTCCGACGAAATTAAACTAAAAGAAGGAGGAATTAATAACGAGGGATGGATGGATTACCTTTTTCTTGTCTCTCATGCTGCCCTTCCCTCGCACCATTACTTTACATCCAGTCTCCTGTTCCAACTGCTTGGCGGTGAGCCCCCTAGGGCCCAGAATACGACCAACAAAGTTAAACTGAAAAAATAAATATTCTGCAAATGAAGTGAAAAATTGTTTGTATAGATGTTGAAAGTTGACTGTGCAAATAGTTAATATTCTTGCCTTGTTTCTTGTGCGAAAGAAACCCAAGCATTGCAAAAAGATAACCGAGACTCCGTACATTTTTTTAAACCAATCCGTACATTTTTTTAAAGATCCGTACATTTTTTTAAAAAATCTGTACAATCAGCACAATTTTCGAAAAAAAACCCATTTTTGAAAAAAAAAAGAAAAAAAGGAAGGGGGGGGAAAAACCCCCCCCCCCCCCCCCAATTAATACGCCTCTGGAAATCACTTATGTTTAGTGACTGAAACGAGTGGGTGGCGCACCTAGCGCACCTTAACAAGGATCTGAATGCATTTACACTCAGTTCCTTTTCTACTTGAACCAGCTTTCTCATTCCCAGCTCATGCAGATGAGTCATCTCTTCTTTTTTATCTGTTAATGTATTACCTCCCCCCCTCTTATGTAAATTAACATCAACAGAACTTGGTTTGGCAGAGATACAATGAAAAATAAAACCTATTAATCAATCATCTTCTCCTCCCTCTCCCCCCCCCCCTGAAATCATCAATTATTTTGAATGAACCTCATGTAAAATGGAGAAGTCGTGGTAGAAGGAAAAGATGAACTTAGACATGTTTCAAAAATAAAAATAAAATTTTTATACCAATCTTTACAAGTGCAAGTGCAAACATTTACTCCGGTCAATATCCATATTAATGAAAATCGCGAATATCAGCATCCATTTTGCTAAAAATACGAATTCGGAATTTCAGCCTTAATATTAATAAAAATGCCAGCATTTATTTTTAATACCCAAAAAGATGTAAAGATTGGCGTGACTTAAAAAATATAGGATACCACAAACATGGATTGGGAAAGGGGGGGGGGGAGACAGTAAAAATTCCATACAAGAAATTGTGCAGTCTACCCTTAAATGAGTTGTATTATACCCAAAATTGTCGCTATTACAGTTCTGACTTTTACAGTCAGACCTGAGATTAAAAACTGAATGGAAAAGGTCTGGACTCTAGAGAGGGGGGGGGGGGTAGAAATAAAAAATAACCAAATTAGGATAAATAATGCAAGGTTCTAAAAATGGATTTTTGTGAAATTGCAACCGTAATCCTCAAATTTAAAATTTTCTACGGTGCCAACATTATCTTGCATAAATTGTGTAATTAGTGTTGAAATCCCTTTAATCAACCCTCTCCTACATCACGCAACCTCCTCCATGGAGGGAGAATCAACGAAAACATCTCGACAGCCCTGGGCACTGGCCTGAGCAATGCTAATTGTCGGGAAACTTAATATTCTGTGTTGATTGCGTGTCATTATCAATTTGGCGTATTTTTCTTACAAGCCATGAATCCGCAAAATGTTGCGTGAAAAATCCCTTCCCAGAAGCTTAAATAAAATTATATATTTGCGTTTGTAATTGACACATTAGCGCCCAGGATTTTAAATGGTCAGTGGTCTGGATGTTTTGCTCCTGATTTACCAAGAAATATATTAACATGGCTTTCAAGCCTCCTAATCCAGTTTTAACAGCCTGTTAATTAGGCAAAAAATGTGTGTACAAATATGATGCTCAGTCACTCTTGTGAAATATCAAAGCTATATGTTTCCGCCAGGGGGAATAAAATTTCCTGCGACAGTTAAATCATAAAAAATGTTTGACAAAAAATCCAGGGTGTCAAAAACCTGTTTAGCAGACAACAACCAAGCAGTAAATTAAAACAATAAATCAGCTCTCCGAATTAAAAATTAATTGAATAGTCCCTTAAAAAGACAATAAAAACTACATAAAACTTACAGAAAGGGAACATTGGAATTCAAGCAATTTACATTGAAAAAAAACATCTTATTTTTTTCTTTGAAAATTACAATATTGCAAAACTAGGAGTGAACTTTTGAAATTTAAAATTGCAAATATCCATGGATTTGATTCATTAAAGCCATTAACTCTTAGATAGATTCCAATATAAATGTCGACATGAATTCAGATCAAGTAATAGGGGAATAGTAATAGGGGAATTTGAGGGAGGAACATGGGGAAACAATTTTTTGAAAATATTTGATGGGGAATTTATTAAAAATAATTACTACGTTGGAGGTGCTCATGAGTAGTGTTGGTTAATCGTTATGAATTATTTTTAGAAATTTCTTTGCAAAACTTTAAAGATTTAAAAACGGTATTATGTTAAAGTATGTTAGAATAAACAATTTAAAATAAATTTGCTTACACAATGCTAAATTTTGACCTTAAAGAAATAAAAACAAAAAATTACCCAAAAATATCGTATCACTACTCATGAGTCATTAAATTAGGTTATCTTTTCAGTGTGCAAATTTTTTTTTAATGTTTCAATAATAAATATTTTTTTTGGGGGGGGGAGGGGGCGGTTTATTTTTTACCTCTGGATGATCTTTGACCGGAACATAAACCTTTTCTGTGTGAATTACTGGAGGACCATTTCCATCTGGTAATATTAGAGGCTCCTTCACGTAACCATTTATTTGGAACAAGTTACTCCGCACTTTACCAATTTCTGAAAACAAAAAATAATTAGTAAAATTATTTAAATTTTTTTGTTGGGTGGGTATGAACGGATAGTGAGAAAACTGAGGGTTAATGAAAATAAGAAGGGGAAAAGAATGTACGAGGATGGATATATGTTTTAACACTACTATTTATTTAACTAGATCTTGTATCAACATGGAGTCAGAGAATTTGTTGAAAATTCACAACAAGTACAGGGTTTCCAGTAACATAAATCTCAAATCAAAAATATTTAAAACTTGTATTTCGACAAAGTATATGAACATATACTTTTTAAGATACTAGTTTGGGAAACCAGCGTTGCCCAGGTTACTTATAGTTACTCCCGCCGTTTACTCGCACTTGGTCTTAAATTACGATTTTTACTATTTTTCCATAAAAAAGTCGACCCACTTAACTTAGAATCTCAAAACCAAACTAAGAACATTTCCGTGGTTCTCCCGAGTTCCCCAAACTAAATTTGAGGCAAATCGGCTATTAGGTTTCTAAGTTATGATCGGACTTACGAGCTATATAATCAAAGAAACAGAGATTACAACTTTATTCTGAATAAGATATAAAGCTATGGAATAAGAAGGCTCCATATTTCTCATGTCGGCTTAATACAAAGTAATTTTCATTTCATATTTTACTATGAAATAATTTAATTTTAATAAATGAAAAGCAGAATTAAATTAAATGAAAAAATGTAGTTCAAAGGATATCTTGTTAAAACATGGTGCGTAACTTTGATTGCAAGAAGTTAAGGGCGTTGCAAACATCATTTTTTAACTCTTTCTTTCTTCGGCATAATTAAAGTTGCAATTCTCTTTATTCTGTTATGTTTTGATGCAAAGAAGTCACGTGATGGTACGGTTGGTTTCTCGCAGTTCACCGGAAAATAATAAACCTTGAGATTGGGTAAGGAGTAAGGAGTAAGGACAAAGTAAGAAGTAGTTAAGAGAAAGATAAGAAAAAAGCATAGCAAAAGTGTATATACCAAATAAGAGGGAGAGCACTCTAAAATGGAACAAAATCTGTGGGATCATTTTTAAACAAGGAATGAGATTAGAAAATTTTATTTATCTTTTGAATCTTAAGAATCATTCCAGACAATAAAGGGCGAGATTATTCAACCAACCATCCCTTTATAAATATATGCCACCATGAAATAAGGACACAGACAAACGATTCACACACACACACAAACTATCTGACATTCAGGGGTTTATATATTCTCGAAAAATCATTTCTCCCTCCCCCCCTTTTGGAAAATCATTTTTCCCCCAAAGTTTTATGGTCTATAGGCTGAAATGAGGATAATAAATAAATGGTTGGGTAAAATCAAAAGAATGAAAAAAGTTGCCTTTTAATGTCCAATTTCATTACTTTTCCCAAATCATCCAAAATATCAAATGAATTTCAAGTTTACAGTGCTTTAATAAAAGGGAAATTAGAGGGGGGGGGGGGAATAACCATAAGATCAAAGTGATCCCCCCAAAGCCCGGGGCTCGATGAGAACCATACAGAAGCTAGATGTAATTACTGACCTACCAATGATAAAGATAATAAATATTGTTGAATATTTACATATTTATGACAATATTATCATAATATATCTTGATATATCTAGGAAGTACAGGATATATTATGATAAGCTCAGATAAGTTACATATATATTTTGGGTCAAATTCAAACATTGACAACATCTTTGAGAATTATGTAGTTTCAGAATATAAGGCGGTATACACAAGAAATTCCAATATTTTTCTTTACATAAATGTATACTTCAATGTCTGGGAAGAATGAAAACAAACTTAGTGCTGCTTTGACAGAGTTTTAATAATATACCTCCCATACACTAAGATACAGGGTGACCAAAACTTTTTTGAACATAACAAATCCGTACAATCCGTACAATTTTAGGGTTAAAAAAAATCAATCCGTACAATCCGTACAATCCGTACATTTTGGCCACCCTGAAGATATGGTGTGTTTCTTCTTTTGTAGTAAGGCACACAAGACTATTCATCCCCCCCGGAGTTATGGAAAGCATAAAAACTTGCACTTGTGCGTTTAGAACACATTTAAGGAGGTAGTACTTCAGTATGGATGGTATATGTTGAACCTATTTCAAGAGTCGTGAGAGAAAACTGGCTCAATATCTCAGATATGAGTGACGTAGAATATGTAACTGACGGGAGGGGGGAGAGGGAGGAGGTGGTGAGGGAGGACTTTTAAGGGATGAGAGCAGAAATGAAGGGGATGGATGAGGGATTATGGATAAGTAACGGGGATGTACGATGGACTAGGATAAAGGGGAATAGATATGAGGGGATTGATGAGGAAAGGGGAATGGATGAGTGAGAAATGAGATAAAGATGAGTGCAAGATGGACAATAGATGATATAGGGATAGATATTGATTAGGGTGGGAATGAATATGTGAGGAGGATGAGTTCAAGAGCGATAAGGGAAGAGGATGAATGGGGAAAGGGGATGGATAAGAATGGGGGGGGGGAGGAAAATGAGGATAAGGGATAATGGGTGAATGGCAATGAGAAGAGTATGAATGAGGGAAGGGGAATGGATGAGAAAGGGATTAGTTTGGGATGGATGAGGAAAGAGGAATGGATGAGTTTGTAAGGAATAAGACAAGGGAATTTATGAGAGAGGGATGGTGGGAGAGATGAGGGTTATAATGAATGAGGGATGAATTGATAAGGGATGAATTGTTCTAATAATGAGTGATCCTTTACAGGCAGAACAGCGTACACAACAAATGCATGAAGTCGTATTAGAGCGTAACCTCCCACTAACAAATATACACAATTGCACCGAATCTTAAAATAGATTCAGTTCAAATATTTAAAGCGATGTGTACAAATCGATTAATCACGAATTTATCAAATTCCATTCTTACAGTTCACGGGTTTATCTGTATAGTGTATAGAGGGAATAGAGGTGATGCCTTAAAAGGGCTTTTTCCACTTTGACACACACA